ATCCTCCTTTCCATTGAAGTGGGATATGCAACCTCTCTGAAAAAAAGGGTTGGAGATTTTCTACTCTTATTGCTTCCTGCTTCTCCCCGCCCCCTGCCCCCAACCCCCCGACTTCTCGCCACTCCACTCCCACCCTGCAGATCAGCCTGGGAGAGATGATCCATGTCCAGGGCCTGCAGCTGAGCTCACCAGCCTTCATGAGCAGCACCTACAAGGCCATGATCTACAGGCAACCTGGTATCTTTGGTCCCAGACTGACATTGGCCAGCTGGTCCCAGACTGACATTGCCAAGATGACCACAGGTCACCTGAGGCCCCACTTCCTGGCTGTGTGCCTGCCCAACCGGGTCTCCTTGGACTGCAAAATTGGCTACATCACAAACCAGGCAAGCTGAAGACATCCTCTGTGCCAGGCGAGTGGGCAGCTGGGGAGGAGAACCCAGGAAGGGTCCCCTCACCCCCGCCGCAGCTGATGACGGCCCTCCCCTACCCATCCCCCAGGAAATCCTTCTATTCTAAGCATGCCTCTTTCGGGATGTATGCCATGGTGCGTCTGATGGTGAGTGCTGGCGGGAGACAGGCCACACACCCGGTGAGGTCAGAGAATGCTCCATTGTCCCCCGCCCCCACCCCCACCCCATGCTTGGTGCCAGCAGTGCCAGGCACAGCTTCCATGGAGCTTGTGTGTGTGTCCCTGGAGTTGGGAGGGCAAGAATGGGGAGGGCCTATCTCCTCTTAAGGCTCATTCAGTGTCTCTGTCCCAGAATGGCAACTTCCAGAACCCTGTCTCCTCTTCCCTGCAGCTGGAGACGGCCCGTGCCAGGCTAGGTCCATGCCCAGGGCTAGGTTCCACCAGGAGCGGGTGGGAGGGAAATCAGATCCAGCTGAGGTGCAGGTCCAAAGTTTTGGTAGTGAGGTGGCAGGAGGGGCTGGGGAGAAGGGAACCCGCTGGGAAGCAGCCGATGACCCCGTGGACAAAGAGAGCATAGATTCTGGTGGTGGAATTGGATCACATACATGGGAGCCAGCCCAGAGCACCTGGGCACGCGGTGAACAAACACAATGACACAGACAGCGGCCCAGGCCACGGGGCATGTGACAGTCACACGGATGTTTTCACACCAGCAACCCAGCAACATTTCTTCCTGAAAGACAACCCATTCTGCTGCCAGCCTTCAAAAAAGAAAAGACCACGAAACAAAGTAACTGCAGCTTCTGTTTGATAAGAGAACAGGGTCTTTGAAGCCGGATCTATCACAGCCTCAACTGTGTGTAACACTGGGTGAGATACTCAACTTCCTTCTCAGGCCTCCCATTTTGCATCTGTAAGATGGGCACGCAAACAGCAACTGCCTCCTAGGGTTGTGGTTTCATGTTAAAACATAAACAAGCAGCCCTGACTGGTTTGGCTCAGTGGATAGAGCGTTGGCCTGCGGACTCAAGGGTCCCAGGTTCGATTCCAGTCAAGGGCATGTACCTTGGTTGTGGGCACATCCCCAGTAGGGGGCGTGCAGGAGGCAGCTGATCGATGTTTCTACCTTTCTATCCCTCTCCCTTCCTCTCTGTAAAAAAATCAATAAAATGCATTTAAAAAAAAAAACATAAACAAACTGATACACTCAAAGCACTTAAACCAGATCTGGCCTACATGTGACTATTATCTTTAATAATAGGCAAACCAAACCCCAGGGTGGGTTGGGGCTGGGGTGTCTGTCAGCAATGCCTCTAGGTACACAGCGGGCATAGCAGTGTGGCCCCCACATGGTAGACAGATCACTCACAAGTAGAAAGCAGGCATTTCCCTGGTTTTGCAGGCCTGGTAAAGAAAGGGCAGTCAATTTCATGAGCAAAATGTTCTGGGTCTCCCTGAATTCCTTTGCCTCGAGTATTCCCCAAGTTCCCATACCTGATTTCTCCCAGAAACACACAACAGCAACTTTCTCATTCATCCTGCCAATTTCAAGGAAGTAAATTTAACCTATTATTTAACAATGGGGTGTTTTTTTCTTACAGATGCTATAGTATAGAATTATACACTTGAAACCTATATAATGTTATTACCCAATGTAACCCTAATAAATAGAATAAAAAATAAAAATGGGTTTGTTTGTTTGTTTTCTGTTTTCCATTTCAAAATCAGGAGCTCAACTCCTGCTCTTTGAGAGGTCCCGGCTGAGCCCTGCCTAGCTAGATCGGAGATCTGAGGCTGGCAGGAGGTGGGATGCCGGGCCACCGCAGGAGCCTACCCATAGGGTCTCACCTGACTGCTTGGGAAATCATCCCACATCTAACAATTCTCCCAACATCAGTGTGTAATTAATAGCATAAAGCTCTCTTATAATGATGTGTCAGGACCACAGCCCATACCCTTTCTAGATGCTGAGATCACTTTCCATACAAAACAGCCAGATGAATGTCCTGCCTCACACCGTGGCCACCCAGGATCAGGCAGATGGTTGGGCACAGAAACCCAGCCTGGGTGGATGGGTATCTACTCTTGGGGCTTCACGGTGCCTGCCCTCCCCCCAGCTCTATGTGCAGGCTGGCTCCTAGGGATGGAAAACCCAGCTCCTATGGCTCACCATCCAGCTCCTTTTCTTCTCCTTGGCTCTGTTCAGTGGCTACATCCCGATTTTGGACTGTTGGCACCACCCCTATGACAGGGTCTTTGGGTTCCTGCAAGGAGCCTTGATGGCTTTCTGAGTGGTAGGTAATGCCATGGATGCCTGGCTCCCAGGGAGGGTCTGCTTGCCAGGGATCCATGGGTATACCTGGCATTCTTCACCTCCCAGGAGAGGCCAGCTGGGGAGGTAGCAGCCACGGGGTGCAGATGACTTCAGCCCACCTCAAACCCCTCCCCACATCATCCTTGCAGGTTTGCTATATCTCTGGTCTTTTTACATCTCCGGCGATGCCAGGTCCCTGCAGCTCCAGGTGCTAGAAGGCCCCCTGCCCCCTGTTCTCCATTCTCTTCCCCCTTGCCCTCCCTCTGTTCCCCCACCCCGCCCCACCCGAGGGCCATCAGGGAGCCCAATGAATGCCCTGAGGCAGAGGAAGGTAGAAGGCGCTCACTGTAGGGCCTGTTCTCTCCAGGGAGTTATCCCTTGCCAGGTGGGCTAATCCAGAAAGCTCTGTCTCTCTGGAGGACAAACCACACCCCAAATCAGGCTCTTCCTGGGGCGGGGGGTGTGGGGGTGGACACAGGAAACCTGTTTTTTCTAGGGCTGAGACCCAAGTCAGCCCTTTCCAGCAGGACCCCCTCCATTTCCATTTTTATGGTTCTTAATACATTAAAAATTAAGAAATACCAACACAGCATTTATGAATTTTTTATGTATATTAGCATGGAGTGGTGGACCTCCTATTTCAGTCTGGGCACCATGTCTCGGGACCAACGCTAACAACATCTTCATTGGGTGAGAACCTCAAAAGTTTGGTTCAGTGGTTAAAGTGTTGGCTTGCAGACCAAAGGGTCCCGGGTTTAATTCTCATGTGCAGGAGGCAACCAGTCCATGTCTCTCTCATATCAATTCTCTCTGTCTCTCTGTGTGTGTCTCTCTCTCTTCTCTCTCTCTCTCTCTCTCTCTCTCTCTCTCTCTCTCTCTCCTTCTTCCTCCCTTCCACTCTCTCTCTAAAGATCAATGGAAAAAATATCCTCCGGTAGGATTTTTTAAAAAGTCTAAACCAGGGTTCCCCATCTCATTACTATTGGATAATTCTTGGCTGCAGGAGCCATCTTGTGTATTGTAGGATGTTGAGCAGCATCCCTGGCCTCCACCCACCAGATGCCAGTAACAGCTCCAAGTTGTAACGACCAAAAATGTCTCCAGATATCACCAAGTATCCCCTATGGGGCAAAACAACCCCAGCTGAGAATTCCTGCATTAGGGGGTTCCATTGACACCCCTCCCCCAAGAAACTGCATTCCATAACCATCTGACAACTGGGGTCCTAGTGTCACCGGAAAGGGACTGGGCCCAATGTGGGGCTGCCTCGGGCCAGCCATTAGTGCGTGTTTCCTGACTTCATGTAGGAAAGATTTCACAACACAAGCCCAGGTGAATTTCACAACACAAGCCCAGGTGATTTTGAGAGCACATTTATTACAGCTGGGGACAGTGAAACAAAGGAAGAGCTTAGGATAGAAGAAGCAACGGGTGAGAGAGAGAGCCTAGGTGGTGCTCTGCTTTGGCTCCCTGGAAATGTTATAGGGGAGAAGTGAGCCATGATGCGGCTGCTGTTAGCTCACTGAAGCCAGAGAAAAGGGGGCCTTAGAGACAGGATCAGAGGTTAACCCAGGACAACCGGCCATTGCCAGTTGCTCCCCTGGTTGCAAGTCTCGTGGAGACCCTTAGAGCTGGGGGGTTGGAGGGGAGTAAAGATGCACACTTGAAAAGGAAGAAAAGTGTGGACATGCTCCAGAGAGAGCCGCTCCTGGGTCTTTTTTCTTGAGAGTTCTTATTTGTTTTCTAAAGGTGGGACTTTTAGAGAGGTCTTAGAGCAGTGGTTCTTAACCTTCCTAATGCCGCAACCCTTTAATACAGTTCCTCATGTTGTGGTGACCCCCAATTTCATTGTTACAAATTGAACATAATTAAAGCATAGTGATTAACCACAAAAACAATATGTAATTATATATGTGTTTTCCGATGGTCTTAGGCAACCCCTGTGAAAGGGTTGTTCGACCCCCAAAGGGGTCGCAACCCACAGGTTGAGAACCCCTGATTTAGAGGAAGATCTCAATAGAATATTTATCAGCATTATGCTGATTCACCAAAATGAGATTTATTCCCCTGACCTCATTCCTTCTTGGGTGTGGTTGGCACAAATGGCATTGGTTGGATTTCTGTTATCTATCTCCCTGAGTTGGGTAATTTAAGCTGTTTACACTCTGGTTGGAGAGAAGTGTAAACCATTTACTCTTCTTTCCCCCCTCCCCATTTTTATTGAATTTATTGGGGTGACATTGGTTAATAAAATGATACAGGTTTCAGGTGTACAATTCTATAATATGTCATCTGTATATTGTATTGTGGGTTCACTGCCCTAAGTCAAGTCTCCTTCCATCACCATTTATCCCCCTATACCTACTTCTATCTCCCCCATCCCCTTTTCCCTCTGAAAATCACCACACTGCTGTCTGTGTCCATGAGGTTGTGTGTTTTTTCCCCTCACCCAAGGATATGCTTTTATTTTTAAAATATTTTATATGTTTTTATTGACTTCAGAGAGGGGGACAGAGAGAAAGAGAAAGAAACATCAATCAGTTGCCTCCTTCACGCACCCGGACAGGGGATAACCTGCAACCTAGCTGTGTGCCCTGACTAGGATTTGAACTCACAACCTTTTGGTGTATGGGACAATGCTCCAACTAACTGAGCCACCCAGCCAGGGCTCATTCACTCTTAAGTGTTCTTGGTTAGGGAAGATAGGATTTTGTGATTTACTAGATGGCTGTAAACTGCTTGGTCATTTAACTATCTGTCTCAGTTTCCCTTTTCCACTTGTATTGGCTTACTAATCTGTCTCACTAGAATGCTGTACACATTTAAATGGAATGGAGAGAGGAGGTGACTCACAGATACTAGGGGTCAACCATCTGATCCATCAGGAATTTATTCTGGAGTCCAGTTAGCTGGGGGGCTAACTCAATTTTTCCCCCAGTTAATTAACACAGCAATTCTCAGCACTATTGACATTTGGGCCCAGATAAGTCTTTGGTGAAGGGAGGAGAGAGACCGTCCTATGCATTGTAGATGTCTGGCACCATCCACCCGCTAGATGCCAGTAGCATAAACACAACTGCCACCAGACATGGCAACCAAAAGTGTCTCCAGATATCGCCAGTGTCCTCTGGAAGGCAAATCGCCCCCATTTGAGAACCAGTGGTTAAAACTAGAGGCCATTGGTGAATGTGAAGGACCGGCCATATGGCTGAAGTGGCTGGCTCAATGGCTGGAAGCCCTGGGAGGCAAGGATGGGGGTTTCTGGATGGCAGAACTGGAGGCTGCCATCAAAAAGGAGTCTGGCCCTGCTGGTGTGACTCGGTGGTTGAGCATCAACCTACGAACCAGGAGGTCACCGTTTGATTCCTGGTCAGGGCACATGTCCAGGTTTCGGGCTCGATCCCCAGTAGGGGGTGTGCAGGAGACAGCCAATCTATGATTCTTTCTCATCATTGATGTTTCTATCACTCTCTCCCTCTCCCTTCTTCTCTGAAATCAATAAAAATATTTTTTAAAAAATATTCTGCACAGCAAAAGAGACCATCAAAAAAATGAAAAGGGAGCCCACCGTATGGGAGAAAATATTTGGTAATGATACATCTGATGAAAGGTTAATATCCAAAATATATAATGAACTCATAACATTTAAAGAAAAGAAGACAATCCAATTTTAAAAATGGGCAAACAACCCAAATAGACACTTCTCCAAAGTGAATATACAGATGGCCAAGAGACATATGAAAAAAATGCTCAAAGGCATCGATCATCAGAGAGATGAAAATTAAAACAACAATGAAGCATCACCTCACACCTGTCAGAATGGCTACCATCAACAAATTAACAAATGACAAGTGCTGGCGAGAATGTGGAGAAAAAGGGAATCCTAGTACACTGCCGGTGGGAATGTAGACTGGTGCAGCCATTATGGAAAACAGTATGGTGTTTCCTCAAAAAATTAAATATGGAACTGCCATTTGACCCAGTGATCCCACTTCTAAGAATATACCCTAAGGAACCTAAAACACCAATCAGAAAGAATGTATACACCCCTAACAAGTATCACATGATCTCACTCATATGTTGAATCTAATGAACAAAATAAAACTAATGGACAAAATAGATCCAGAGACATAGAAGCATGAAACAGACTATCAAATCTCAGAGGGAAGGAAGAGATGGGTGGGAAGAGATCAACCAAAGAACTTGTATGCATATATGCATAATTCATGGAGACAGATAATATGGTGGTGAAGGCAGGGGCAGGAGTGAGCTAGAATGGGTGAATAGAGGATAGGGGGACATATGTAATACTTTTAACAATAAAGATTTAAAAATAATAACAATAGTAATTTTTGAAAAGGGGTCTGGCACTAGCAGGTTTGGCTCACTGGTTAGATTGTCGGCCCATGGACTGAAGGGTTGCAATTTCAATTCCGGTCAAGGGCATGTACCTCAGTTGCAGGCTTGATCCCTACACCGGCAGGGCACATGCGGGAGGCACCAAGGGATATATCTCTCATATCAATGTTTCTTTCTCTCCCCCTCCCTTCCACTCTATAAAAATCATATCCTCCTTGAGGATTAACAAAAGAAAAACAAGAGATCTGGCCTTCACTTAAGGGACATCGCAGGAAGTTTTGTACTGCCCCTGATAATAATTGTAATACTAATAGCTACAATTTATTGTTTACTCTGTGTGAGGGGAAACTGGGGCCATCTTACTCACTGTGCCATGGCATCTGACTTTCCCCACGGGACTGTGGGGTGGGCATT